CTATATGTGATCTGATTCCTCTCCCTTGCAGCTTTTAAGATTCTATCCTTGGGGATGGAGTTGTGGCTCGATGGTAGCACTCTTGCCTAGCATGTATGAGGCACTGGGTTAGATCCTCAGCACCATATATAAATAAATAAGTAAATAAAATAAAGATCTGTCAATAACTAATAAAAATATTAAAAAAGATTCTATCTTTATTCTGTATGCTAGGCATTTTCCTTATAATGTGCCTTGGTGTAGATCTGTTGTAATTTTGTACATTTGGTGTCCTATAAGCCTCTTGTATTTGGTTTTCCAATTCATTCTTCATGTTTGAGAAATTTTCTGATATTATCTCATTGAAGAGATTGTGCATTCCTTTGTTTGAAACTTGTGCCTTCCTCTATCCCTATAACTCTTATATTTTGTCTTTTGATGCTATCCCATAATTCTTGGATGTTCTGATCATGGCTTCTTACCATCTTCACTGTGTGGTCAACTTTATTTTCCAGATTGTATACTTTGTCTTTATTTTCTGATGTTCTGTCTTCCAAGTGACCTAGTCTGGTGGTGATGCTTTCTATTGATTTTTTAACTTGGTTTGTTGTTTCCTTTATTTCAAGGATTTCTGATTGCTTTTTTTTTTTTTTCAGAATCTCTATCTCTTTCTTGAAATAATCTTTTGCTACCTGTATTTGCTCCCTTATCTCTTTATTGGTGTCATCAATGGTTTGCTATCTTATTTCTTTGTTGGAGTGATCAAATTTTGCCTGTATTTGCTCATTTAGGTCATTCTTTAATTCACAGATTATTTTAATTATGAACATTCTGAACTCCTTTTCTGACATTTCATCAACTGTGCTGTCCGTAGGTTCTGTTTTTATAGTATCCTGGTTTGTTTGAGGCAGTGTCCTCCCTTGTTTTTTCATGTTGTCTATGTGTCTTCCTTTCTTGCAGTGTGGATCTGAGGTATTATTTATTTATTTATTTTAAAAAAAATTTTTTTTTAAAGAGAGAGAGAGAGAGAGAGAATTTTTTAATATTTATTTTCTAGTTCTCGGCGGACACAACATCTTTGTTGGTACGTGGTGCTGAGGATCGAACCCGGGCTGCACGCATGCCAGGCGAGCGCGCTACCGCTTGAGCCACATTCCCAGCCCCAGGATCTGAGGTTTTAGAGTTTCTACTTTATAGTCTTATTTTTTTTTTAATTTATTTTTCAGTTTTCGGCGGACACAACATCTTTGTTTGTATGTGGTGCTGAGGATCGAACCTGGGCTGCAAGCATGCCAGGCGAGCGCGCTACCGCTTGAGCCACACCCCCAGCTCATACCCTATAGTCTTGTAGTTTCTGTGCAGATTAGCTGTACTTCACCTTGGTGTTGGGTTTCCAGACCCTGCCAGTGTCCCTGGATGGATACTACTGCAACTGTAGGTGGTGGTGGCGATAGTGGAGGTAACTCAAGATAGCAGTGGAGGTGCCCCAAGATGGAGGCAACGTCTTTCAGAGATGAGGCTAAAGGGGTGGTCCTTACAATGGCTTTGGAATGCCTGCTCCAAGATGCAGCTGCTTCTAGATCCTTTCTGTAGTTGCCATGTAGAGGATACTGCATGAGGAGGCTATGGATGGCTTCAGTATCCCAAGGTGGAAGTGGGTTAGGCCTGGGTTTCCAGGTGTGTGGGGGGTAGACCTGGGCCTACCCCGGGCCCAGGCTCCAGGAGGTCTGGGAAGGTGGTCCTGGGCCTGGGCCTTAGCTCTGCCAGGTATCTGCCAGTGGCTGGACGGACCTGGCACAGCTCAGAGGAGGTGGATCTGGGCTAGTCTCAAGGATATAAATTTTTTGTTTCCTAGATTTAACAGAAAGCCAGAATGTCTCCTATTATACTTTCTACTCAAAGTACCTCTGAGGATCATTCCCTCTGTGCTTGTTATGATTGAAGGCTCAGTATTCCCAAAGCCCATGTGCTAGAGGCTTGGTCCCCGGGTGGTGCTACAGGAAAATGATGAAATCCTTGAGAGGAGGGGCCTAGTGGGAGGTCCTTAGAACACTGGGGTTGTGCCTTTGAAGGACATTGTTGGACTCTTGTCCCCTTCTTGTTCTCCTTCACTGGTGAGGAGTGAGTGGTTTTGCTCTGCCCAGTGCTCCCAACAGGATGTGCTGCCTCACTACAGGAGTAAAGTGGCAGGGCCAATCATGGACTTCACTTTCCAAAACTGTGAGTCCTAATAAACCTTTCCTCTTTATAAGTGAATTACCTCAGGTATTTGGTTATATTAATGGAAATCTAACACAGCAGTGTACCTTGAGTCTAAAAAAAAAAAAAATCAAAGCTAAGATTTTTTCCAGTTTGGGCAAATGCCTTGTGATGAGAGCAACTTTTTTTCCATGAATTTCTGCCCACATTTATATTTTGAGTTAAAGAATTGTTATCTTCTCTTGGATACTTTTTCTGTTTTATGTCTTCTTTCTAGCTGATTTTAAGCGAAAAGGCAAACATAATATCATGTTACTAAAAATTTAATCACCAGGAACTGCTGATTCCTTCCTGCTGTTAATCTGACACCAGGGCAGAGGCTGGAACACTATTCTGTCTACAGCAACGCTACTCAAATGTGTACTAAGTGCACTAGCACTGGACTGTGGAATGTTTGTTACCAACCCACAACAAGACCCATACAGAAAGCGAGAGTGAGCAAGGACACTTCTATCCACACCTTGTCCAAGACTGACACCAGTCAAGCAAAAAATGCATATTTACATCGAGCCCTCGGGTCTGCTGAGAGCACTTTGGTCACCAGCTGTTGGTATAGCAGTTTGAACACCTCAGCTCAACATCTCCACTGAGTGCCTGCAAAGTCCTGTCTTCACATATGCTCATGACAGTCTTCCCTTCTTTATTGATATAACTCTTTAATTTCTGATTACAGTGTCACAAATTTTTGTTGTTCTCTTATGTGGGGAGCCACTCTGAATGATTTGCGCCTTCCATCCTGGAGCGGAAAGGCTTTGACCATCAATCACTACATAACATACTGAATATTGCTCTGGTCCTGGAAGTCTGAGACGTAGGCGTGTTGCCCCATGGCCCCTTGGGTCAAATTACACTCACCTATCCTTTGTAACCCTGCCCCTTCTGGCCTTTTTTGGATGAAACTTTCTAAGTATAAGGGTCCCCCAATAAAAGCCCACTTCTGAACGTGCTCACTCTTTCTCTTGCTCTCCCATTTGGGGAGCCTGAGGTTGAGAGTGGAGAAGCCATCCTGAAGCTTGTTTCAAGGTAAAGTGTGTGACTGTGTTTTATTTGGTGTCCCTGAAAATTCACACGAGCAACCTTAAGTTCAGCTGCCCACACGGGTAGGGGGCAGAACTCTTACTTCCTCTTTCTCATACTCTGGTAAAGTTCCTTAGGAAGTATTGTAAATTCCATCTTCAAAATGTGTGCAGCATCCAAACACTTCCACTATTTCCCCTGCTCATATACCAGTGGAAGTGACCAACGTCTCCAACATAGGACTGACTGTTCTCCAGAGTTTCCCTGCTGCCTTGCTAGTCCTCATCTCGATTCTGGTCTCAGGTCAGAAGTTAGCGTGATGCTTTGAAAAGATGCACTGTGTCTGCCTTGCTCAAAATTGCCTCACTTGATGCAAGATTCTTTCCGTCTACCTCTAGATCTTGCGACTGGCCATGTTTCTCAGCTCCTCTCAGTGACTCTGCTCAGGACATCTCAGATCCTCACTCTCCTTGGAACACACACAGGATTCTGCTCTGGTGCATTTGCACTGAAGCTTCCTGTTGCTTAGAAAGTTCTTCTTCCAAACATCCTCATGACATGTTCTTTTACATCTTTCAAATCTATTCTCAAAGGTCACCTTGCTAATAAGTGCCATGCTGAGAACCCTAGTAAAACAGCCAACTTCCCTTTCCCTGCACACCCACTCTCACACCTGCCCTGCAACACTTACCACCTAACATGAACACTGTCCTCAGGTACTCTGCTTACAGTGTGTCTTCTTCTGCTTTCCTATAGAACACAGGCCTGTTTTCATTTCCCTGATGTATCCCTAGGTGAAAACTCTGTGTCATCTACTCAGTACTCAACAAATGAGAGATGAATGAATGATCAGTGTCAACTCCCCCTTCTTTATTAAAAGAATTTCAGATCAAATGCTGCTGTGGCATCTGCAGTCAAGGGTTTCTCACACTGAGATCAGGGCCATTTGGGCTTTTCTCACAAATTCTGCCCTCCATCCCTCCACACCAGCCCTCCTGCTCTCCGCAGCTGCTAAGGACATTTTGATCTTCATGATCCTTAACTAATGGGTCATATTTTCCAACTAAACAGAAACCTCCGTTAGACTCTGTTTTATCAACCCAGGAATCTGTAATGGAGCAAGTTCTGGGATGAGTGTTAAGGACAGTGAAACTGCTCAGTTAGAGAAGATGGAAGCCTAAGAGGAATTTATCTAAGATGAGAAACCATGAGATCCTTCCTCTCTGCTGTTCCCATAATCTGGTTCCTTTAAAAATCCTGGAGGAATGATAGGAAATACAATCCAGGAAACTGCCCTGGGTCTTGTGGGTCAATGACAGAAAAAATGAACTTCTGCTGTCACCACTGAGAGACACCCAGAGTAGAACAAGACCAGAACCCAAACTTACTAATAAGAACAGGGATAAATCTTTGTGAAAAGTGAGAAACAAAAAAAAGATGGGAGCAGAAGGTCAGACTCAGGTCTCGTCCTATGTTAACCCAGTGGCCTGATGCCCTCTCACCCATGGTCCTGGAGATAGGACCAGCCCTGGTTGATGCTACCTGTTATCAGAGGTCCTGTTGGGATGAGGTTCAATTGAATGGACAAGGACTAAGGAGCAGTAAAACTGACCCAGCTGAGAGTGACCACAAAGGCCCAGGATGGACTGAGCACAGACTAGGTGCCAGACTGTCCACCTGCTGGAGCTCCTTTCATCCTTCTCCTGTCCCCTCCTGCAGCAGACTCAGCACAGCAAACACGTGGATTCTGGAAGGTTTCAGGTTTTATTTTCTCTCAGAAATTTTAGGAATCCTCTTCTCATTTAATTAGCCCATCAACATATTTTGTGGCACAAATTTGAAATATAATCAATATCCACATTCGATTTTCCAAAAGGGGAGGAAGACGCTGCAATTCAGAGCAACATAAAGCTAAATCAGGAATGAAGACATCCCAGCCCCACATCAGCTACAGAGGAAAGTTGATTGAGGAAGAGAACAGTGTGGGGAGGGGGCCTGGTGACCAGGGATGTGCTCCTCTCTCCATTGCCTCACATTATGATTGTAGGAACACAGGCACAAAGACACAATCAGATGCCAGCTGCACAAGGAGTAGCCAGGAACTCTTGAAACTGCAGTAGAGAGCAGGAAGAGAACTGAAGAAATCCTGTACTGCTCAGTCCCACAGATGGCAGCTGTCTCACACTGTAAAAGAAAGTATTATGAACAGATTCAGATCACTCCTTGTAATGGAGACACTCTGAACCACCCATTAAACACTCAAAATGTCACAAATCCCTGAGAGAGTCCCTGTAACCCAGCAGTCTCCTCATTCCCAACCCCTCTCCCTCTCCAGGACCTCCAGAATCTCACCTTTCTCAGCAGTGAGAGACACATCAGAGCCCTGGGCACTGTCATTACCTGAGCAGAACAAAAACAGAACCTGGTCAGAGCCCACAGGAGATGTGGGTAATGGAGGAATTATGGGTGGATCAGCTCCCCTATTGCTCTCCATTACACTGTCCCATGGGCCTCAGGGATCAGTGTTCTTCATACTTACAGGCAGCTGGAGCATAGGGCCCTTTCTTTACTCCTGTGGGAAGAAAACATCCTGTGAGAGAGCAGCTTGGAAACAGGTCTTAGTCCTGGACACTGGGGAAGTCTCCAGAACTGTGACTGCAGATGTAGGATCAGGAGACAAGAAAATAGATGCATAAAGATGGAGCTTATTACTCTCCTGAGTTCTTCCTCAGCAGGAAGATTCCCCTCTGGCCTCTAAATGCTGGGAATCAGGTCCCATCACCACAAACATCAAGAGGATATATTTGTCCTTTAGTTTCTATGCACTTTACAAAAAGTAAATAGGGTCCAGGTTGGGTAAGGACAGGTGTAGATGTTACTTCCCATGAACAAGGCAGGGCACACTTCTACCAGCTACTTGAAACCACCAGTGGGACAAAAATTCAGACCCTGCACTTTCCCTACCTGTGTTTTTCTTTCTCCACAAGATAAAACCGACCACAGCTCCAGTGACAACAAGGACAATCACAGCAGCAACAATTCCCATGACAGGGATGGTGGCCTGAGGGGGTGGCTCTGGGAGAGGAAGGGAAGTCAGGTGAGGGTCTCTGATCCCCAGCTCTCAGCCCTGACCCTGCTGAGTGTCTCCAGAAAGCCTCCTGCTTTCCTGACAACAGGTTCTGGGCCCTCACCCCCTCCTTACCCCATCTCAGGGTGAGGGGCTCAGGCAGCCCCTCATGATGCACATGGCATGTGTATCTCTGCTCCTCTCCAGCAGGCACCACCACAGCTGCCCATTTCTGGAAGTTTCCATCCCCTGCAGGCCTGGTCTCCACAAGCTCCATGTCCTGGGTCTGGTCCTCTCCATCCCGCTGCCAAGTTAGGGTGATCTCCTTAGGGTAGAAGCCCAGGGCCCAGCATCTCAGAGTGACATCCCCGTCAGGGCTAGGGTGGTGAGTCACATGTGTCTTCGGGGGGTCTGAGGGAAAGAATAGGGAAACTCAGACATTTTGGCATTTCCTCATGGACCACTGAAGAAGGGCTCACATGACTATCACATGATCCTCCTGAGAATGGACAACATGATTGGGGTGGGGAGGAGCACAAAACCTAGACATAAACCAGAAGGCAGGATTCTCGCATAATGTATTCCTTGGAAAGTTCTAGAATCATATTGAGACAACCTAGTGTAAGAGGTTTCAGGTCTCTGAGAGGGACTTCAAACTCTGGTCTGGGTAGAGGCTGAGACATGTGGAAAAGCTGGAGTCAGACCTCCCAGGACACTAGGCTGGAGTGGACCTGACAGTCTGTCCCTGATGTCAAGGCTGGTGACAGGGACCTGTGGTCGGGTAGTCACTGTCTTTCCCAGCAGCCAGGGAGAGAGAGACGGGATCCCTCACTTGTCCTGAGAGACAGCGGCACCAGTTCGTCTCTAGGGCAGCCCCTGGGGGTCCAGGCCCACTCCTCCCCGCTGGTCAAGGAGCAGGGGGTGTCTAGTGTGGGCGCCATTCTCCTCCCTCCTGTGGGGAGCTGGAGGAGGGACCTCCAGGGGATCAGGCAGGTGAAG